TCCTTTGTTTCTCTAACCATTCCGAAATCTGTTTATCAATTTCACGCTGCTCTGAGTGTGTGTCGGGGGGGACGTCACGGCGCGCAATGAACTGGAAGTTGATCTGTCAGCACTATCCTTATCTTCAGGGCAGATGTTTTTATTTTATTTGGCTTATAATTCCTTACTAAATGTAGTACTTCACCTTGATGTACTCCGTCTTTGATATGACTTAAATCAAATTCCTCATCATTATAAATATCGCGAATACACATCAAATAGTTTTCTGGTTGCGATTTTTCTAATTTCGACTATACGTAATGTATGCTTTACGCATGCACGTTGAAAGAAGTGTTTAATAAAGTAAACAAATAAATATTAAGCTTTTTTTTTTTTGGTAAATTTTGATACCTTTAGATCATAATTGCTCTTTATTTCATAAATTAAGGTTTCATATTTTTAATTTTATAATTTCTGCATGCCATCTTACCAGATTTAAACTGATGACCTATAATCCGGAATCGCCGAAGTCCCGACGAGTCCAGATTAAAGACTTTTGACTGTACTAGTTTTCATGGGCCGTGGTATTCTGAGAAAAGGAACAAAAATATATTAAGACCCATCACAGATAGGACAAAATATTTGACCACATACCTGTAAATCCTCCTTAACAGTGTGATAAACCAACAATAAAATGAGAAGGAAACTAAAGGAAATAAATAGGCTGTAGCATTTATCACTCATAAAAATGAGCATTTTCATCAAAATAAGGCATGTTTTTAGCTTTGTAACAGAGATTGAGACAGATAGCCATTAGGAATCTGAAACAGAAGGAGTGAGAGACAAGGTCACCGGTGAAATACACTTGAGTAACACATGCCTACATATTGATAACATTAACAAAAAAAAAGCAATCTTAATTGAGATAGGCATATACAAATAATAATGAAATTTAATAAGGAAATGTAACATAGTGGGATACATTCTTCTTCTTCAATGGCCAGATAGCCCAGGATGGGCCCTTGCTTTCCTCAGAATCGAATTCCAAGCTCTTCTTTCCTTGGCCATTATACATCCAATTAGTTATTTTTAAAATTCTTACGTCTGTTTCTAAACAGTCGAGCCACCTAAGTTAAGGTCTCAATCTTTTTTGAGTGCCGAATGATCTAGCCAAAAAGATCTTTTAATTACACGATTTCATCCATTCTGCACAGGTGTCCTGCCCATTTAATTCTCTGAATCCTTATATATTTTACTGTATCTAGTTCTTTAAAAGATTTATAGAGTTCAGACATAGTTCTTCTCCAGATATTGTTACATTTTATGCCACCAAAAGTACTTCTCAAAATTTTCTTTCACAGACAAAAATGATACTTTTAGCTTTTTCTGTCATTGCCCAGGTCTCAGCAGAGTATGTAAGAATGGGTCTGATTAAGCGTTTGTAAATTAGAATCTTCATTTTTCTGCTAGTGAAGTTAGACTTCAAGTATTTTTTTAGACTGAAAAAACATTGGTTAGCATCTCTGACTCTACTATGGATCTCAGACATTAAATCATTGAGAGTACTAACTTCTGATCCTAAATAATTTGCCTACAGTTTCAAATTTGTTATTCCCAATTTCAAAATAGGGGCTGCTGTTATTACTACATGGCATGTACTTAGTTTTATCTTGGTTGATTGCTAGATGCATTTTGCTGGCTGCAGCCTCTAGAGATGTAAAAGCCTCCCTAAGTGATTCGGGAGTGCGTGCGACTATGTCAATATCGACAGCAAATGCAAAAATCTGAACAGACTTGTTAAAGTTAGTTCCACGCGTATTAATGTTGGAGTCTTTTATGAATTTTTGGAGGGCAAAGTTAAAAAGTAAGTAGGCCAGTACATCACCCTGTCTGAGCCCATTTGAAACAACAATAGGGTCAGAGAGATTATTCTGAATTTTAACCCTAAATTTTGTCTCAGTAAGAGTAATGGTGACCAAATTCATAACTTTTTCATGTATTGCAAATTCTCTTAGAGCTTCAATTAATTATTTTCAGTTTACTGAGTTGTAGGCAGTCTTAAAATCAGCAAAAAGGTGGTGCGTTGTTATGCCATATTCATTTGTTTTTTCCATAATTTGCCTAATGTTAAAGATTTGCTCTGTTGTAGATCTTCCTTTGCGGAAACAGCATTTGGTAATCACCTACAATGTTTTCTGTATAAGTTACTAGTCTACTAAAAAGTATATTGGAAAATAGTTTGTAAAAAACACAAAGGAGACTGATTTCCCTGCAGTTGGTATATTCCAAAATGTCACTTTGTTGTGTATAGGGAAGATGATGCTCAGTTTCCAATCTTTGGGTAAAACTTCTTGGTTCCAAACTGATTCAATGAAAAGTGATGTATCTCCTCAATGTTTCGACCTGCAGCACTTTTAATGAGTTCTGAAGTAATCGAGTCAGGGCCTGGGACCTTGTTATTTTTCAGCTTTTTAATTACTTCTCTAACTTCTGCCAAAGATGGTGGCGGGATACTATGTTTGCAGAGGTAACTGGGTAGATTGAGGGCCCACCCTGCATATGGTCATTTAACAAATTACTAAAGCGCTCATTTCACCTGTGAAGTACCTCTTTTCTATCAGTTAGGATGATGTAGTTTTTGTCTCTTTGGACCCCCTCAGATGTTAAACATCCATAAATAGATCATCCTGAAAAAGTCTTTTCTTAAGCCGATGGATCGTCTTCTCCCATTTTCCAGATCTCTTAGATTCCTCAATAGAGCGTCTTGAATGTGGCTTTTGGATCATATTATTTATAAGCAGCTCTTTTTGCCTGCGTTACAAAGAAGCATTCATTATCAAACCAATCCCTTGGTTTGCAAACTCCACTTATTTTCCACGGTTTTCAATTTGGCCATGTTTTTAGATCTTAGTTCTCCCCTGAGTGAGAACTGGAAATTTCGTTCAATTGCTTAATTTTTCAGCTTTTCAAAATCGATCTTTTTTTGCCTCTCTCCCTGTACCTTTTAGGAATTTGAAATTTTGGAAATTAGTTTAGCAATAACCAAATAGTGGTTGGAGTCACAGATAGCACCTCAATAAGTTCTAACATCCTGGATATCCGAAGAATGCCTAGAATTGATGAGTACATGATCAATTTGATCCCAAGTTTTTCCATCAGGTGAGTGCCAAGTCAACTTATGTATTTTCTTGTGGCTGAACACAGTGCTTGAAATTATCATGTTGTATTCAGCAGCAAAAATTACTAGTTGTTGTCCATTGTCATTAGTACTATCATGTTAGCCATGCTTTCCAATTTTTAGTCTAAATTCATCCTCCTTACCCAATTTAGCATTCATAACTCCCATAACAATTTTAATTTCATGCTTGAGACAAGATCCGTATAACATAGAAAGTTCCTCATAAAAAATTTCCTTCTCTTCCTCTTCCTATAGATGCATGTCCATTGATAATACTATTATTAAAAAACTTTCTTCTTAGCCAAATTTTGTAAAGTCAGGATGATTTAGGAACAAAATCAATCACTAAATGTTTTACACTTTTGTTCAATAAGAAACCAGTACCAAAAACATGTTTTTTCTCATCACAGCTATAGCAAAATGTGTGGTTTCTTTTCTCAATGGTACCTTCCCCAAACCATCTCATTTCCTGAATGGCAAGTAGATCCGTATCATATTTGTCAAATTCTTCTAGAAGAAATTGCAGTTGCCTACTGTAGTACAGTGTTCACACATTCCAAGTTCCAGAGCGAAGGGTACTTAGGCCATTTTTAAGTCGTTTTCCAGTAGAAGCAGTCCAGCTAATGCTCTCTTTGGATTTCTTAATGGTTAGTCTTTTTACAGGGTGGGGTAGTTGGCTCCACACCCAACCCCTAACCTGGAGGACCAGTCCCCTAATATAATCTCTAGGGACAGGGTATCCATTTTAGTCACCTTTTACGACATGCATGAGCTACATTGGGACTATTCTTTCACACCTTGTCACCACACAGGTGGGGGTACATTATAATAGCTTAAAAAAGAGCAGGAACCCAACACACACACAGGCACCGAAGTTTACTTATCCTGGTGAAGCACAAGACTGAAGTGTAACACAAAATGGCTGGAGAAAAAGTCGTCTCTCCCCCTCAGCCCGTAAGATTGCCATACAGGTTTACTGTCTTTCGCCAAATGGCAGTTTTCTCTAGAGTTTTTGAGTTTGTATTGCCTATTTGGTGCTGCAGCTGCAAGCTCTTTACTTTTCCATTTCCCTACCAAAATGCAAATCATGTTTGAGGATATTTAAGCTGAGATTTTTCCGATTATAAGGTAGAGCATGTTTCTGCCTCTCGATCTCACATTACTAGGTTTTGTTAGCTCTAACAGATTACAATTCTTCAGTTTTGCATTACAGCTGCCGACATTTAAATTGTTATGCTGATGAGAAGTTTGAGCCAACTTTGTACTAAATCAATTGTGCAGCCCTTGGCTACCAGACTTTGTTTTAAATTTCTAAATCGACTCTTACTTTATGTCGCCCAAAGTGGCTGGCTGATCTGTGAAGCACAAGATATGCCTTCATGGTCTAGTTCTAATTTAATAAAAATATTTCTTTAAAAATCTTCTTAAGATTTTGTAGTTCTTTTCAGATGAAGTAATAATTCGCTCCATATCTGTTAGGAATTTGGACTTAGTTTATATTACCAAAGAACATTACACTTTATAAGTTCATAATGTTTAAATGAATAACAGAATGGAGAAAACTAAATTACGCAAAGAAGTCGCAGTGTTTCCTGAGAATGATTGCAGCAAAAATAATAGGTGTTTAAGCAAAATATTTAAATGATGATTTCATCTGGAGCTGGCAAAGCCAGGTTCAAGAATTCATAGAAGTTGCATATAAAATTTGATCATAATATTTCTATGTTTTGACCTGTTGATACTATACATTTTTAAAACAAACAGTGTGACACATTAAATGCAAAAAAATTTATATAGCTTGCATTCATTAACAAAATTAAATAACAATTAAATGTATACATACCTAAGGCTCCCTACTAATAACATGTTACGAAAGAAATGAGGAGGGTTTCTCTCCCACTTAACACTTTTGTATATATTGCACGGAAAATGCAAATGAGCATAACCACCAATACAGCACATTAATAATTGAGCACATCCTGTAGGAAAAAGAAATCATTTTTATACTTTGGATACCCAGTTTCATATTTCTCTTAATAATACCGTTCTCAGATATATTTTGTAGTGAAAACAAATTTACAAGTAAATAAAAAGGAGAATTCAAAATATCACGATTAATGGTTTGGTTTATTTAATTATGGCAAAGCACACTAGGACTATCTGCCTAAGTGGGTGCCTTAGTGGAGGACTTTCTAAAGGAAACTGACTCGTATACATGTTACAGATGGGGAAAACCACAAAAACGCCCATGCAACCAGTTCGCTCACGGGATTTGAACCTCGGACTGAACTACCAGTGTTCAGCGACTTTACCGCTTGGCCACTGGTGGGACTCCATGATTAACGATTTCAAGGCAAATTTACCTCACATAAAGATATCTTTTCAAATTTTATGTATTATGGCAAAAACTATGAATATAAAATTTTGAGAACAAACATAGCAAATTAAAGACAGAAATTATAACAGAAAACAGTTAGCCAGAGAAAGGGTTGACAAGATATAGACTACTCTCAAATGCAAAGTATTTCAGAAAACATTTTTCTCTCATAAAAATTCATGTACCAGATATTAAAATGAAACATCAAAAATAGACATGAGATTTATTTATCTTCATGTATTAACTGAAAAAATAGCAACTGAAAAAATATATATAAATCCCTGAAAGTATTATAAAATGTAACAAAAACCCTGCCTAAATAAATAAAGCTTTGATGAGATTGAATTGATGATACTGAAGCCTCAGTTCTACCAGATACTAGATCATAAATATATATTTTATGGTATATGGCCATCAATTTATGTTGAAGATAATTTTACTCTATTTTCAACATTAATTCATACCATACGCTTACACATACAGTAGAACCTCGAGATACAAGCACCTCCATATATGAGAAATTCAAGATACAAGGAAAGTACGAGGGAATAATTCGTCTCTGGATAAGAGAATTGACTTGAGTAAAGAGCAACAAGCCAGGCTGTTGGTACGCGCAGAGCGTTTCTTGATCCGGCTCGACTTGGGGAATCTCTTCGTCAGATCACTTTGTGTTCTTTTATCTATGTGTTTGTGTGCTTATGAGTAAATTGTTTTTTACTTTTAATGTGAAAATAATTATTTAACGATCCCTCCCAAGAAGACTGTTGTCACAGATAAATCTGCAAAGAAAAAGAAGGAAGCCATGGTCGTTCAAATTAAGAAAAAAATCATAGATAAACATAAGCATGGAGTAAGAGTGATGGAATTGGCGAAGACTTACGGCCGCTTGACTATTCCGAAGAACAAGGAACAAATTAAGAAACTTGATGTGGCCAAAGGAGTTACCCTTACATCTAAGCACCGAAACTCGTAGATGTTGAGAAGCCGTTGTTGGTGTGGATTAACGAGAAGCAGTTAAAAAGGATTTGGTGTCAGAAGCTAGAATCTGTACTTGGACCTTCTCCGAAAAACACCAGGTATGTTGACTGAAGATGAGATGGCAGTGAGATTTTTGGAGGTGCGAAATGGATTAACTGGATTTTCATTATTTTCAATGGGGAAGTTTGTTTCTAGATATGAGAAATTCGCTATCTGAGCTCAATGCTGGAACAAATTAAATTCGCATCTCGAGGTTCCACTGTACTTCTTTTAAAAATATGTGCTGAAATGCATATACTGTACTAAATGCATATTTCAATAACTTTCCATTCGGAAATTTGTCCCGAACCTTTAATGAAAAATACATACAGTGCAATTTTTCATTGATTCATGCAATGCATACAATGTTTAATTGGGAAAGGACAGCACAAAATATATCTCTACATGCTTCTTAAACACTATGAAATAATGTATTTCCTGACATATTTGTTCCCCCCCCCCTTCTTTTTTTACAAATTTATTCATCTCAAAATCAAAATGAGGAAACTGCACAAATAATTTAATTTCCAAATGATGCAGTTACAGTAAAAACATAATAAATGAAAAGTAGTCATGGCTAAATTACAAATAATTATCACAATATTATTTACTTAAAAGAAACCTACATTCCCAAAAGAATGCATACTAATATTAACATTACACTATCTAACAAATTATCTTCATTTCTACTTCCCTGAAACTTCAATCTCACCCATTCTTATAGGTGTTTCTGCTACTCCTTAGGCCTTAAATCATCCATAAATAATTAGAGAAGATAAATGTGACTGAATGAATGTCAGTTTTTGTCTGCTTCACTGTGACACTTCTTGTATTAGAATGGCACAAAACTCAACAGTTAGAAAGGAAAGGTTCGGTGTAACCTTTCCAGGTAATTTGTGAGGATTTGTCTTTGTTAGCAAAACAACAAAAAAAAAAATTCTCTGTGGACGAATCCATTTTAAAATTTAGGGAAGCTCATTCTCTGTACACATTGAGGAAGGGGAAAATTATGCAAATATCTGTTTTTAATTTTAAGAACCTGTTGATAAGATAGAAGAGAAAATATGTGAAGAAGTACAGTAGCTCAATACCTCATTAAAAATTAGGTTTGGGGGCAATTATTTGAATTTGACTCTTTGGAACACCTTGCAGTAATGGTAGATAGATGTAAAGATTTGTACTGATGAAAAGCCAGTTGTGGAACTTCAGTAAACAAACCAACATGACAACTAAATGACTGTGAAATGAGACGGTTTGAAATTTTCCTTGCAGAACCACCCTGGATTAACCCTTTGTGCTCGAGGTGCTTTTCTGTCGGGTGAACCAGCAACTTGAGAGTAATCAGCCACTCCCGCTTATATCATGAGTTCCTTATTGTTAACTTAAAATAATTTTAGACACAATAAAATACTTTAAACTCGTATATTTTAACATTATACATATTTTTTTAACTTAATGAAACATATGTATTAAACATAACATTCTAAAATTTTGCTTCGTATAATATTTTACAAAACTATCTCCAATATGCATCCTTGGCTTGTCGGGGCACGTGTCACAGTAGTATACAGTTTGTTGTCTTTGGGACGTTCTTTGGGAGCAAACCATGCAATCTTTTTTTTTTTTTTTTTGGCCCCATCAAAATAATATGCAGCTTCCCATTTAGTCGGATCGCTTCAGAAATGGTGTGTGAAGTAGAAGCTGTGCTGGTTTGTTTTTGTCGAAAGTCTCCTCTCAGTTGATCCACTAAAGTTTTCAAACATTGTAGGTGACTAAGCGGCCATTCGTTTCTCTGCTTCTTCACTGATTTTTAAAGAATTTATGAATTGTGGAGCAGATCTCCAAACCCCCAAAAAATAGTTTTCGCCACCATTTTACGAATTTTCTTAAAAAACAATATGTCGAAGCCAGTTGGTCAGCTCGATCAACATCGCTCATAAATTAGATGTAATTTACAATAACATTGGGCTTTTTTATAACGACTTCAATACCACCTCGTAGAGTTCTTCTTACAGGAGTTATTTCCGCATTATTCCAAGTAGTCAAAGCCGTCAAAATCCTCTTGTCCTTCTACACAAGAACCAAAATATTACCTTTACGATATGCACATGTGGTTCGATTCTCAAATTTTGGCTTTCGTATTTCACATGGCAGATGCTTTCTATTTGTCATGATCGTCCCAGTTAAGTGGCACTTTTGTTTGCATAATTCTTTCACCAATATGTAACTCATATAATAACGGTCCGTGAACATGTGGTGTCCCTGAACACCAGGAATTTTATCCGGTATCATTTTGTATAGATGTAGCGGTATTCTGGTTGATACCGGTAGATCGGGTATTATCAAAGTCTCTGTTGTTAGAGATCCATAATATAGCAGAATAGCACAAATGAAGCCAGTATTTGAAGCTGCGAGCGTATAAACACGAATACCCCATTTTGTAGGTTTCATTGGATTGTGCGTAATGAATGATATGCGGCCTTTGAATTTGACAGTCGACTCATCTGCATACAATCTGCTTCTCCGGGTACAAAATAATTCAAGAACCTTTCATTTATATACTCGAGGAAACCACGATACTAACCTGCAAACGGGTTCTTAGAGGTTTCTATTTTCTAAGGGTATTGTCTTGAGGTGAAGTCTTCAAAATATTTGACAAAATCGGTCTCTCGTAAACGTGTCTGAGTAAAACGGAATATAACTAGTATCATTTTTCGACCAGTATTCTTGTATGTTTGCTAGTGGCATTGTCCCCATATTTATGATTGCCCCAATAAACGCCAAAAATTCGGTAACTGTTACATCGTACCATGATCGCCATATAGAACGGGATGATAAGGTCTTCCTTTCCACCTCCTTGCAGTGTTATTGTTAGTTTCTTGCACTATGTCAGTAACTAATTCCTCGGTGAAAATAATTTGAAAAAATCTATTCGTTCTTTTATGTGTGCTAATACGTGCGGTCCTACTTATCTTTCACAGGATACAAACGGTATTCTTCTGGGGATTTCTTCGGATTTTGTGCACACTGTCCATTCTGAAGGTTCAGTCCCTTCTGTACAATCACTTTAGCTTGCAGATTCACTATCGATTATTCGGATTTTTCGTCTTCTAGCTCTTCTAACGTCGTCACTATCTTTATCACTTCCGTCTTCGTTCTCATGGGCAAGCTGTCTATGTAGTGATGTAATTTCGTTCGTTATTGCCGAAAAATTAAACTCATCTTCTCTAGAAGTAACTTCTTCGTCGTGTTCCATACTTATTGGGCTCAGTAACTTTGAAAGAAATACTACGATCGGCAAGAAGGTTGAGTTCGAACTGATGTCCAAGACAGAGTCCTACCCGCGGTCGCAAGTATTTTTGAGATAAGACATTTAATCGCATAAGCATTGCAAAGACAACCTTTATTTGAGATAAGACATCCTTATAGCTATTCAGACACCTCGTAATATGATCTACAAAAGGCCAAGTGGATCTCTCAAGCGATATTTCTTAGGTCAAACACAAATAAACACATCGATTTGAATGGTGCCTCTCAGGCACCGCTCGAGTTATCGCATCACATGCAGTGGTGCCTGAGAGGCACCGCTCGAGTGCAAAGGGTTAATTTACGGAGTGTGCTGTAGCTTCATCTTTGATGGAATCAAATGGTGCATTTCATAGTCACACATTCTAAGCTATGCAAAATTGTTTAACTTACTTATGTATCATGGTGACCGTGAATTAGTATTTCTCAAAAAAATGCTACCAATTTACACTACAATGACATGACTTATGCTGTTCAAATATACATACCATTCAAATACAAACACAAGGCACAGGCAGCAAATTAAAATCAAGTACATCATTCTGCTGGATCTTGTAGTTGCAGTATAATTATCCATATATTAACTTAATAATACAAAATCATATCAGTGTCACAGTAACCACTGGTATTTGCTTAGCAACATGTTAAGGATTCATCACAGTTTGAATAGATTTCAAAGGTCAAGTTGGTGGGGCCCTTTTCCTGTAAGGCAGTGTAAATCCCTTGTTTCCCTGAATAACAGAAGAGTAGGCTTAGAACACATTAAATCAAGATAAACATCTGAAGCACACATAAGGAGGTGGCATCAATAAATGGTGCAAGAATTAGGATAGCCAGCAGCTCAAGACAGCTGATAAATAATTAGTCAATAACATTACATCAAATTCATCTCAGTTTAATGCTTTTGTTGCTTAAGCCATCAATCAATGCACTATTCAGCATACACTGCTCACGGGGATCTAGAAGTCGTCAGTCAAAATGTATACCACTGTTATCAATACATCAAGCTCCGAGTCTTACCTGGGCCAGAGAATAATTTCAGAAGACCACAAATGACAGCTACTGTATAATATGTTTTCAAATGTTTCAAGCTGATGAACATATTTCTGCATGCAGTTGTACCAAGATGTGCTAGGCATTATGTTAGGATCACTACGATATTGGAGTCTTTCTTCACAGGTCAGTCCAAGACAAATTTACCTCACTTAAAAGATACAGATGAGGTATGGTAGATAGTCATGTTTCCTATATTGATTAACTTGAATTCAAACCACAAATGGCATGAACAAGTACTAATTAAACTCAAATGCCAGATTTCTGTCATGTGTAATGTAAATATGAACCTGTTTTCCTCAAAAAAATCCTCCATAAAGACACAATCTTTAAGCAGCTAGCTCTCGTATATTGTGCAGTGATTTAAATAATCCAATCCAATTCAGATTTGTATGGCTATGATGTTCATGTGGAAATCAAGCATTTAACAGTTTGAAAGTCCTCAAAAAAGTCAATGACAAGGAAAGAATACCGTATCACCATCCATCCCCATTTGTTCTCAAACAAAACTGGGATAGAGCTATGCAGAGAGCCTCAGTGTGCTTTGTTTTTATGAAATAATCTATAACAATTTAGTTTTCTTGATAGGCATGCATGCTTAGTGAGTAATGGCAAAACACATAAAGGTTATTATTAATCTCAGGAAACAAAGACCTTTACGAACGACTTTCTAAGATGACTGAATACCATTCACATGCAGAAAGCTACACAAATGCCCATGCAACTAATCCCTACCAAGGATTAGAACCTGGGTCAAACTACCAGTGATCAGCAGTCTTATCCACTCAGACATAATTGACAAGAGCTATTTGGACTTCGACAAGAAATCAACTAGATCCCAAAGACTGTAAACTGATCCATTTGCCCTTGTTTCAGATATCTGGAATGCTTTTATAGAAAACTACTGAAAATGTTATAAACCAAGCAAAAATATAAAAATAGTTGATCAACAATTATTTCCCATGAAGACCCAGTGCCAATTTATTCAGTATATGCCTAAAAGGGTGGACAAATTTGGTATTAATTTTGGCTTGCTACTGATGTGCAGTCAAAATATTTACTGAATGGATATTCCTATTCGGGAAAAGATGAAACAAGAACACAGGGAGAAACAGTAAGTAAGCATTCAGCTTTTCAATTGATGGAACCTTTCTACAATACTGGAAGAAACCTAACAACAGACAATTTTTTTTTTTAACTTTGCGGAAATTAATACAAGAAAGGAGGAGTTCAGGGATAAGCTGTGTTGGCACAATAAATTGTTCAAAAAGAGAACTACCTCATTCTTTCAAAAATATGAGGTATGAGCTCTATTCTAGTAAGACTGCTAAGAATGACAATATAACGCTTATGTCTTATCAAAGAAAAAAAAAGCAAGAATGTCCTGCTCCTGAGTACCATGCACCCAATACTAGAAATCTCATTTGATGAAAAAAAGACAACTGAAGTTGTTAATTTTTACAATTCGACCAAATATGGAGTTGATGTTTTGAACCAGATGACCAAAAAATACTCGGTGAAGTCCTCACCCAGATGTTGGCCAGTTTAAGTTTTTTTTTTTTTTTTGTGTGTGTGTGTGTGTTCTTGATTTGGCTGCGATAAATGCATGGATAATTTATTTACTAGGAAACAATTGAATGTAAGAACACCAACTGTCATGATTTTATTTTGAATATGGCTGAGACGATTCAAAAGACGTATATTTCATCAAAAACTCGCAAACCTTCTGTATCTAACAAAAAGAGAATTGATACTTGCGTTAAAGCTTTCTGTAAGCGTAAACAATGCCAAATAAATACAGGCAGAGGCAACAAAAGATTGAATATTTATGAATATTCTCAAAAATATGTCTGTGGAACCTGTACAGGTTAAATTTAAAAAATATAAATTAAAAAAATAGTAATCTATGCCCTGCAAAACTGAGTAATGCAAGTACTAATATGTGTACGTTTTAATAAATTTATTTCATATTGAAAATTTTGAGGCGATTTATTAAATGATAAGAGGTTTAAAAATATCTAGAGTGATTTTATTTTCCTCTTTTAGTTCTTTGCTATATTAATATATTTATTCACTTTATTTTTCTCTTTGTTCCAATAAATTATCCTTTGGTTGCATGTATTTACTCAGTTTACTTTCTTATTAAACAAGCAAAATGTATCGTTATAAGTATTAACTTAATAATAGTAATATTAGCAAATAAACAATATTAGCAAAGAGTGTTTTCTTCTGTTCGGACCAAGCGGTCAAAATGATCATTGATCGTAGTTATAGGTACATGGAGAGCACTGTAATGCTCATATTAAAATTGTTTTTTTAGAATATTATATATATAACTACAGTTTCTATTCTTTACTTCTTTTCATTATGAAGCTTCACAGAAAGTTAATGATCAGTTCAATTTACAGCTTTCTAATTTACAGAGACAATTTCTGCTTTTCTTCACTTTTATACATTTTAAAGAATTTAACTTATGACTTCCAAAATACATTTAATAAGACTTGATGAATAAAATTTAATTATCAAATGAGAGAGCAATCACTGAAAAAACTCAAATACTGAAATAATTCTGAAAAAAAAAAAACTGTTTGGTCTTCTACACAGGTATTTATAATACATGAGTTACATAAATTATCATTACACAAGTGTTACACATATTTACATAAATTAAATAGCATGATAAAAAGTAAATGTAAAAATTATCTTACCTAAAACAGTTGGATCTCCTTGTTCATATGATAAAATGTATTTATTCAGAAAGAGAGTTGTAAAACTAAAAAAATACCAAAGAGTAATACAATAAAATGCGCCTGTCGACATAAGACCATGATGATTTGGTGACTTGTTGTTGCTGCATTTTTCTAACGAATAAGTTTTGGGACTATCAATGGATTTATGAACAACAGGTTGATTATTCTTACAGCCATCTAAGTTAAAATCAGGTAATGATTGATAGTTTATATTATAATGTCCATTAAGCTGACTTGTGCTACTTTCAGAATTCATTAGCAATGTTCAGAATGTAATTCAGTAGAACATTCAGATCTGAAAAATAATAGAATATTCTATTTATGCAGTTTATAGCAAAACAAAATGAATAAATTGTTTAAAAAAAGTCACAAAATTTCACTAACAGAAATTTTATTTTTGATACACAGAAATTTATAATAGAAAAACCTGCAACTATAAAATTATAATATTACTTTAAAGAAAAATTTTGAAAATTAAACAATATTGTATTCACATATTTTCCTGTTGGCCAATTTTTCAACAAATAAAATTGGCCCAAATTAGCCCGAATAATGCAGATGTGCGACATCATGAAATACTCAGATCTTCACTCTGGTTTTATAGTCGTCAATAAAAGAATTTACTTTTTGTGAAGGAAAATCAAAGTTACTGCTATTTTTGTTTTTTGCACGAATTTTGAAAAAATTATTAAAATTGGGAACCTGCCCCTTACAGGATAGCAAGCAATACAGTATTTTCAAAGTTACAAGCCTGGTTATATAGATGTGCATGTTAAAAATATAAAAAGTATGGTTTGGTTTGGTTTGGTTTATTGAGATTATGGCAAAGCACACTAGGGCTATCTGCCTAAGGGGAGGAATGCCTTCGTGGAGGACTTTCTAAGGGAAACTGGCTCGTATACACATTACACATGGGGAAAACCACGAAAATGCCCATGCAGCCAGCCTGTTCGCGGGATTCAAACCTCGGAACAAACTACCAGTGTTCAGCGACTTTACTGCTCGGCCGCTGGTGGGCCTTTATAAAATGTATGAGGGGTTTATCAAAATGGGGCAATAAAACACACACATCCATTTTAGATTCTTGTTTAAGAAAATTATGCGACACCAAGTTCACAACGAAGGATTTTTTTCACTGTAATGACTGCCATTAGTTTTCATGAATTTGTTTGTCAAATATTCTCAAAGCTTGAGTACAGAAATATTCAAGTATCTTAATACCATATATCTGTACAGATAATCTATTAATTAGCTAAATAAAGTGATCTATTATTATCTAACTACATAAAAAGCGATCTGTTCTTTCAAACTTCCACAGGCATGGTAGCTGCAAATTTAGCACGATCTTCAACAGCTTTCAATGCCAACAAGAAAATATATAAGTACGAAATAAAATATATAGCACAATCAGATAAATAACAGACATAAATACAAATGAATTTATTTGTAATGTACTGCAGCCCTGATAGTTGAGTAGTGTAAAAGCACATCATTCACTATACACATGAAATATGTTTAGTGCAAGTTTTACTATGGCAGACTCCAATTACAATTAACAATAAAAAGTATTTTTTCTCTTTTGCAATGTCACTAACTCAAAATATTACAATTGAAAAGTAATCAAACCAAAACTTTTAACTTACCAACAGAAATGATATAATATTATGTCCCTCTACTGATAAATGTAGCAACTTCACTATTATTAATCTAACATCAACAACATAATATTAGCTCTTCTCACACTTGCTTTCATCCTGCTAGGATGATGTTTGCTTCTTTTCTTCTGCTACCAACTGAAATGCTCTAAGTATGTGAATGTATGTTTGGAGTCATGGAATACTGGGCATACCTCCTGCACACACTATTATCAGCTTTACCAGACTGAAAATTCCATCTTGCATATACATACACTGCTGGCTAATTGCAAAAGATGGAACAGAAACCACAAAATGAAAGGAACCAATTTTTGAAAAATTAGAATAAGTATGATACACAGTAAGAAGATGTATGCATACATAATGTTTAACTTCCTGGCCTGTTAATCACATGATAGATAAAATAATAAATAAAATAGTCACACTGATAAAAGATTTTTAAAGGATTTGGTGCAAGTGGTCAAGTGTTGTATCAAGTAAATATTCTATGGGAAAGATTTAATTGGTGATATATAGAGTATAGGCTGTAGTATAGGAAGGTATGTAGTATAGGCCGGCATGCATGATCATTGGCTGCATGCCTCTATATGTGATTGAAACTGGAACTATGACTGGTCAACAATATTTCGACAAAGTTCTTCTGCCTTACGTTTCACCTTTTCTATGATAAATTTCTTTTCATGTCACCATGTCATCAAATACACACAGGATTGTCTAGATCAGGCATGGGCAAACTGTGACTTCCCCATACCTTAATTGCGGCTCTCAAGTTCTGAAATGCAAGTTGTTTGCAATAAATAGTAGTTTTATTTTTTGAAATACAAATACAATTTGAAATAGGGATCATGCAATGACAGGTTTTTTTTTTAGTCACTAATTTAATTTCTTAAATTATATTATGTATGTAATAATTTAATTGATTTCAAATTCTCCACCACAGACTTATTGTCAAATAAAACGGCACATAATTCCATTTCTGGAAATTACTATTCCTGCCATGTTGCTTTTTAAGCAGATAATGGCTATTGGAATAGCACAGAATGTACAAATACGAAGTTAATCTAAAAAATAATATTCTCTAACATTTTTTGCCTCAGGTTAATTTTACTTCAGGCAGTTTCCGCTTACATTCCTGTTGTGTGATCCTACACTTCACAAAAGTTGTCATCCACTTGGAAGATTCGCTATTCGTTGTAGATCACTACTTTTATTCACCCCTTGAAAATGGCTTGAGTAACTGCTGAAGAAGCCTTTTTCACCCTGCAGACCACACAGAACTCTTTCAGTTTAGGGAAGAAGTTTGAATACAAAAATTTATGGTTGATGAGGTGAACCTTCTCCCACTCATACTTAAGAGCTTATCTCAGTTTTCTATGAGTGTCCTTTAAATTTAATTTCAAGTCATTTCTTTTTTATGCAGTTCCTTTCCAATTTTTGCAGCCAACATTAACATGCTGCAATGAACACTTCTTCACATAAAACTCTATCTTTCGTAATAATGCCTTGGTAATCCTAATGCAGAGATCAGTGGTGTAGCTAGGGTGGGGCAAGGGGGAACATCTGTCCCCGGGCGCAGCATCAAGGGGCGCCAAAATGATGCTACGAAATTTTTTAATGAAATGTTTTCCACTCTTGGCACACAGAAAGGGGCGAAAGTTCTTCAGTTGTCCCCGGGCGCTGGAAGTTCTAGGTACGCCCCTGGCAGAGATCAAATTTATTTCACCAACAGTTTTGCATACTGAATTATTTAGGGTCGCGAGGAGAATCACTTGATTCACAGTGATTTCAATTCTGATCAAAATTCTTAATTCACATTTTATCAACTGCTGTTATGCAAGGTAGAAATCTTTCATCTTCATCATAAAATCTTCATATTAATAATACTGCATCAAACAATGAGATTTCATCAAACAAAAATTTCAAGATTCTACAACTAATTGTTTTTAGGGTATGCAAGACACGCAAAAGTCATAAAAAAATTCCTTTTTAATTTGTTTTAAACTCATTTTACAATCTATTTTCGAAAAAAAAAAAAAGAAGAGTCCTTCATTCCGTTCGTACATATAGATGTCACTCAAAAAAGTTGTCTAAATGGATATTTCCATAGAAATATGATACTCAATTTTTTTTTTAGATTACAATAATTCCTTTACTTCCCACAAGGAAGTAAATATGATAAAGTGATGTTACTGAAATACATTTATACAGTACAAAGTCAATAATCGAAACTCGTCGGGACTTCGGCAATTCCGAATTAGGGTTTTTTCCGGATTAGAGATCATCAATTTAAATCTGGCAAGATGGACTGCAGAAATTATACTATTAAAAATATGAAACCGTAATTTATGAAATAAAAAGCAATTATGATCTAAAGGATATCAAATTTTACGAAAAAAAAAGCTTAATATTTGTTTACTTCATTAAACATTTCTTTCAACGGGCGGATGTGTAAAGCATATGCGCGTAATGTACGCGCATTCTTTATGCGCATGCATAATGTATGCCCATTTTCTACGCGCATGTGTAAAGTTTGCGGCTTTGAGCTCCGGATTATAGATCATTCCAGATAATGGAAGTCCGGATTACGGACTTTGTACTGTATATGTTTCCCAGATGGAAAATATACAATGTTTAGGCTAATTTTTATCAAACAGGTAAAATTAACAAAATTACAAGAAGTTGAAAATTTAACACCTTTGTTATTTAAATGAGAGCTTTTCAGCGAATGTGCCATGAGAAATTTAAACGCAAAACGACCATAAATAACTGATTATGAGGCAACAGTACCAAAGAGACTGAAAGTCATAAATGAAAAATTAGAATCAAAGTTTAATTTTAAAAAAAGGTACAAATATATTTACGAGTGCCCCTTAGCAATACATGAACACCGAGTTTGTGCAATTCTTTGACAAACATTCACTTATATTCTTTGGAACAAACAAAAATTATTACCCAACTGTGAGATTTATCCTCAGAAATGGATAAGATGTCACAAAAAATCATAAGGTCTTCGCCTTGTTTTCATGTTAACTTGATTAACTCTTAATAAACTGTTTCAGTTTTTATGATGAAGGATATAGCCATTCATCTGTTTTCCCTCTCACATTTTGAAACAAATTATTAAAAATTGAGGCTTTTCTCGAAACAGAACGATATCCAGTACAGTATTTAAAAAATTTACAGGGTCCTGGAACTAAGAACAAGATGCAACTTTATTTGAAAATGAATAATCAATGTCAATGCAACATAAAAAATTATGACCAGTGATTTATGTTTTCTTATGTGCTATATCCATAACCACTATCTCTTGATTAGTTAACTGATTAAAGAGCAATTAGTTCTTTCTAACTTCTGCCAGAATGGCTGGTACAAGCTTGGCAGAACTCCACCATCTTACATAGGTCAACAAATTTCATAATCAGATCAGTGGCATAGGGAGGGGGGCAAGGGGTGTATGTCTGAGGGCGTCACTCGCAGAGGGGCAACAAATGGTCTTCAAACAAGATTTTCATCATATCACTCTGTTTTTTTTTCGGGGGGCGCCAAAAAGGTAAAAAGGTATTTGTCCCGGGCGCTAGTTATGCTCGCTACTCCACTGAATCAGATGCTTATATTTCATACATTTTAAAGCCTATGAAAATATGTA